TGAGAATGAGATCCACTGTTATATTCCATGCTAAAGGAATAAATACTTAACACCAGGTGAATAATAGAAGAAAGGTTTATTGTACACAACCAGTACAATATGAAATACGGTACAGTTATACACACAGGTCAATCTAGTAGTGAGTGCCACTAATTGGGAGGTCGGACATGCTTGCATTTTCTCTCTCTCACTCTTAATATTTAATAGCCCCCCCCGCCCCCACGAGGAATGTATGTGGCACAAGGCCGAGTTTGCCGTAGGCTCGGCCAAAAATATTCCCTTAGAACCTGCATAATCGGGTTCAGGGTCTGGCTACCTCCCCGGACGAAACTTTGACCTTCGGCAAAGCCTCGTCCGGGTTCCTCTCTGCTCGAGACAAAGAGTTCGGCAATGACGAACAGGAGAGAGCACTATTCTGTCTCTCACTCTTATTCCAGTCTCTCGTAGACAGATGACTTTATACCTATAGTGTAATCATTCAAGAGTGTGACTGGTTATTCCATTACATCACATGTCTATTGAACAAGAATAGGGGCCCATCCCTTGTTCCCTGATCAGGATATGGTTTACCGGTTCTCAGTCTTTCTTCAACCAGAACAACAATGGTTTAAATGTATCTACTTTTTGGAGATCGGACTACCCAGTGGTTATGACTTTCCATTGTGAGGGTACCTGGTTGGCAGTTTGCTGGCTGCTGCTTCCGACTGGTCGTTAGGAGTCTGAACTCTTTTGTAGCGCTTAGAGAGGCTGCTCCGATCAACAGTTGCATAATATCGGGGTATCTGTAGTGTCATGTCGCGCATGGGTCAGTGTCGCTGCATATATTTCTTGTGGGCAGCCCTGAGGCCACATTATGTTCTGCTCTGAGCCACGCACTGGCTGGTTCGCATTGCCATTGACAACAGAAATGGAAATCACAACAAAAAGAAATCCAGCTATATCAGATAGCAAAAAACAAACACCCCCCAAAGCAACCCCCCCAAAATACAAACAACGATAAAGAAACACCTCCCCACCTCTATCTTTCTATCTTCAATATTCTTCCATTGATACCAATAAATTCTTGGCTCCAAGGTATCTTCCCCTTTGCCTAAACGATTCCAGTATTCACATACATGGCCTTGGTATTTACATCCGGGATAATCTTCAGATGACCAGAGAACTCATACTTAAGACCGCCGACTATTCTTTCATGTGCTTCCGTCTTTAGTTCCTAAACTCTGTCAGCTATCTTTTTTCTTTTATCGCCACCCCCTCTTCTCAAGGCTGCGGCATATTAGCACAAAAACAGCGCTTTCTCTCTATCCATATGGGAACATTTTTGTCTTCAGTGACTGAAATGCTCACCACAACACATAGTTGAAACATTCCAACGGTACTGATGTTGCCGGTATACAGACATAAACTTTTTCCATTGCCCAATCCCTCACCTAAATCGTGGACCTCCCTACTCGTTTCCCTAGGCAAACCGAGCAACAGACCTCTCTACCGGATCTATTTCTAACCTCTTCTCGATCGAGGTTCTCAATACTGCCCTCTAGGTAACTTGGACCACTTTATAGTAGCTATTGATATCTCCTTCCAAACATCCGTTAAACAGGACCCCCAATCTATAAGACCTATTTCCGTTACCAGGATGCTGATTGGGACCCATTCAGGGATTTTCTTCGTGACGCTACTTGGAGTGACATCTTCAACCCCCCAATTGAAAATTACGCCACTGGTTTTTTTTTCCTGGATCAAAGACGGCATGGACGCTTTTATCCCATCTCGGAAATACCAGGTGAAACCGTAATCCTCTTCATGCTCGGCTACCGTACACAGAAACCACTATTTCCGGCTATACCAGCGTGACATCTTTCACCATAACAGTTGCCTATTTGCTGCTGCTGATAATAAATGTAAGTGAGTCCTTGAAGGAGCCAAGTCTCTGTTTGCTGAGAGAATAAGGCAACGCATAGCTTCTAAAAACATTGACTCGCGTGATTACTGGTGTCTCTGTAATAGCGTACTAAATAAGTGAAAGTTCTCTATTCTCCTCTTCAATCGATTTGAGGTGTTATCATACCCTGCTGATAAAGATGAATGCTTTGCCCGCAAATTCTCCTCAAACTCTACTCTGCTTAACTTCCCGCTTGGAACTGATTCTCTGCTGAGTGATATGCATATAACCCCTTCCATGGTCTCTGCTATCATTTCTAATATTACTTCCCACAAAGCATGTGTACCCGATGGTATCTCTGTAATAGTCATTAAGGTGTGTGCTCCCGAACTGACTCCTGTTCTCTCTAAACGGTATAATAAATGCATCGCTACCTTCTGCTTACCTGCCTGTTGGAATTCATCATCAGATATTCCAGTTTTTAAGAACTCTGGTGAGTTGTCCGACCAATCTAATTCTCGGCCTATTAGCGTTCTGCTCCTTTTTGGGAACCTCCTAGAATCCCTAATCAACGCAGAATTGGTTCATCATCTATCATCAGGGGCTTTTCTTAGACAATCAATATTGCTTTTGTTTCACCAGGTCAACTGCCAATATACTAACGATAATTGCGGAAAGGATCTATCGTGCTCTAGATAAAACAGTGAAGCCTGGGTTGTAACTATGGACATCCCGAAAGCCTTTGACAGTTTCTGGCATTCAGGTCCTCTCCGTAAGCTAAAAAGTTACGGTAACTTCGGGGACATTTTTGAGCTGATCCAGTCGTTCCTATCAAATCGTGAAATGAAAGTTGTCCTGAACGGTCACTCATCTGCAAACTTTTATTTTTTAATCTTCATTAACAACCTTCCCGATGACATCAGCTCTCAACTTGCCATCTGCGCTGACGACAATACCATTTACTCCCGCCTCGATTAGTCCAACAAGTTCAAAATGGCAGCTGATGCACAAAACGACCTCAAGACCTACGTTAACTGGGGCAAAAGATGCCTTGTCAATTTTAACGTCTGCAAAACTAAACTTTTCTCTGTTAATCTGAGAGATTCCTCTCTGATTTTCATCAGCATAGCTAATGCTATTCTCCAGTTGGCATGAAATGGAAAGACTATATCGAATCCTTAGCTAGGTCAGCTGCTAAGAAAGATGGCTCACTATGTCAGGTGAGACAATGCTTCTTCCCTGAAACTATCTTGCATATATATATAATACCATTCGTCCATACTTAGAATATTGCTGCCCGGTGCCGCTGCAGTTTACCTGGAGTTCCTTGAAAAGAGCCAAAGAAGAATCAGCAATATTATTGGTCCTGATCTGATGACTCGGCTTCAGTCACTTTCCCATTGCTATAAGGTTGCCTCCCCGTGCCTTTTCTATAAATACTTTCATGGTAAATATTAGGACGAGCTCTTTGCTATGATACTTAGACTTTTTGAATTTAAGTGCAGTACTAGACTGGCATTAAGATCTCACCAATTTACAGTTGAGCTGGCTAAATGTAGCCATAAATTCTATGCTAACAGTTTCTTTTCTTGCACTTCTCACTTGTGGAACTTCCTTCCGGTTCCATGCTTTCCAGCCAACTTTAATCTGCAAAAATTTAAATGCAGTATCAATCTCTACTGTTCTCCTGATTACTCTTTTCTCTTCCTGTTCATAATTCTTCCACACTCAGTAGCCCCTTTACTGTCTTGCTTGGGGTGAAATTGATTAAAAATTAAAAAGAAGATTAGTCATAATGCAAAGTAACCGAAAATGATGAAAAATGCAAATCAAAAATTAATAGAGATGTAATATTCTTGAAGCCTGTAGGTCTAAGCGAGGACCATACTTTTTCAATGTTTGTGGACTGGGGCTACAAAATCACAAAGAACTCTACCAAATAAAAAGCAATACCTAAAATAGATATCACATGTACACTTGAAAAAAAAAAATAATAATCAAGATGTTGATGCTCCACATTACTTTAAAGAAAGGGTTAGGAAGGAAGTCTATTGTTAACTGGGGCAAAAGATGACTTGTTAATTTTAATGTCTCCAAAACTAAACTTCTCTCCATTAATCATCTGAGAGATTCCTCTCTGCCTTCAATCAGTATGGCTGATGATAACCTCCAGAAAAATGACTCGAACTAATGTTCTCAGCTAACATGAATTGGAAAGACTATATTGAATCCATCACTAGGTCAGTTACTAAGAAAGTTGGTTCACTGTGTCATACAATTTTTCTCTCCAGAATCTATCATACATATCTATAAGTCTACCATACATGTATGTTTCGAATATTGCTGCCACATATGGTTTGGTGTCCCTGCTGAATATCTAGAAATTCTTGATAAAATCCAATGAAGAATCAGCAAGAAAAATAATGCCAATTGCTCGTTCCTGTTCTCCTAAATGCTCTTTTCTCTTTCTACTTATTTTTCTGTTCTTAATTCATACATACCCTGTTATCCGTTGCGTGTTAAGGGCTGTACTACCTTGCTTGGGGCGCCACTGATTTTTTTTAAGCGTTTCACCCCAAGCAAGGCGGGAAGCCACTGGTATGCAAGGGGTTACAGAGGATTTGCAACGAGAGCAGGTAGGAATGATAGAGGAAAGAATGGGGAGAAGGATAGTGGATAGATCAAGGCAACTGGAGATGTCGACTGACATTACATTTGAATAGTTGGGGATTATAGCTATCAGGGAAACAGGAATAGAGAAGGGAGTTCCACAGGCGAGAGGTGCGAGATATGAAGCTATTGGAGTAGAAGAGGCAGCTACATTTAACAGTTTCAACAATGAAATGGTGAGAGCGGGATGCCAGCCTTGTAGGACGCTTGAAGTCATGAAGTCTGGGAACCAGCCAAAGAAGCTCATCGGAGCAGTTACCGTGAAAGTATTTGTAAAAAAGACAGAGGGAGGCGACGGCACGTCAGTGAGAGAGTGACTGTAGACGAGATGCTAGATCAGGGCCAATTCTACTGCATATCCGTCTCTGGATCTTATCAAGAACCCCGAGACACAAAGAAGGGGCTCCAGACCATATATGGCAGCAATACTTCATGCAAGGGCGAATGATTAAAAACGATACAATGTGCGTGAGAGAGAGAGAGAGAGAGAGAGAGAGAGAGAGAGAATGAGAGAGAAAGACAGACATACAGACAGACAGAGAGACAGAGAGAGGGATGAAAAAAGAGGATCTCTATTTATAAAATGCAGGATGTGTGTAACGAATGCACGGCCGCAATTTTCGATGGATTTGCACCAAAATTTACATGCACATGCTCCAAGTTAGTGGGAAGGTCAAGACCGACTTTGCATTTCCTAACTCCCATCGATAGTGGAAATAATCGATTTTTTCATGCTTCTACGTCAGTTTTCATGTAGTTTGCGGCCATCATGTACTGGCCAGAGTAAGAGCCTATAGCTGGCTGCCACGAATAGGCAGGGAGATTCTATTGGCCAGCGTGAGAGCCAACAGCTGACTGACACGAATGTTAACTAGCATGCTAGCATGCAAAAAAAATCGATAGATGTATTCGTCACAAGTGGGAAAAATTTAAATCTGCATGGCACTTTACTCCAGTTGGCTCATTCGCTTACTTAAACTCAACGTTGATTCTGATTCCGCAGAACTGGGTTGGGTGTGAAAAAGTATTTGTTGTTAACATTCTTTTTTCATTCGTTTTTTCTAGTTACGTGTCCTTTTTTAAAGCTGATCGTTTTGTGTTAATTTTGTTTAGTGCTTTTTTTCGTAACAGATTTAATGTTTAGCATAGATCTTAAAAAAATTCGCAGTGTGAGATAGGCAAGAAGTAAGGTATGTAGCAACATCAGCACGGAAAAGAGCATTAAAAGGCAAGGAAGGGCAAAAATATTTTAAGTCAAGTGATAGCAATTGCTGTATGAGTCGTACGATTTTTGAATCAAGCACGGGCAACGCCGGGCCATGCTGCTAGTATTACATAAATATTAAATTGCATGAACAATTTCATCACATTTACATTGACCGACCAGATCATCGAGTACCTTTTTGACACCGCTGGTCAGAGCATTTTTTCTTGTTTAGCCATTATATGTCACCACCTTACTAGCTGCACTATTTCCGGCGGCGCCGTTGGAAGTTTTCGAATTAAGTGTTGTCCTCCTCCCAGAATGTTTGCAAATCAAGCTCAAAGAGAGCAGTTTGACCTGCTATTTAATCCATAGATGGGAGGAGAATGTTATTTACACGAAAGTAAACGCCGATTGCATTTTCACGCCAACAACCACACACACGCGCGCGCGTGTGCAAACACACACATACACACAGGCACGCACACACGCACGCGCACACACTCACACAGACACCCACGCACACACACACATATGCACACGCACACATACATACTCCCACACACATGCACGCACACGCGCACGTACACGCACAAACACACATACTCTCTCACATAGTTTAATGGTGAAAGAACTGCTAGCATTCAATCCCTCTAAAAGCAAAATAGTAACGTTTCATTATCACAAAGCTGATTCTAGGTTCGTGATAAACGATTGTTCTCTCTATGATACTCGCTATGATACTCCTTGCCTGCAACACCTAATGGGGGTCAAGCTCAAACAATCCATTGATGGATCCGCGAGAAAATGGTCGGTCCATTGTTCAAAAAATTACATGACTTCTCATGACATATCTTTAAAAGAGATAGATCAAACAAAACTACTCTTCTATTGTTATCGCTCCTCAATAATTCTTTCACAACCAGTAACACCATTGTGTCTTAGTGGTTTTATTGCCTTGCTTGTAGTAAATTTGATTTAAAAAATTAGTTAGGCTGTAGCTGCTCAATTTTCACTTTCCAGTCTTGGCAGAGTTCAAAAGAATTTGGCCCGGTTACTCTATCCCATGTCAAATGTTCAGTCGAACTCCATTCCTTAGTTCCTTCAGTCCAGTGGTGTAGTGGATGACGGTTAGGAGTTTTCTTCCACCTACTATAAGTTTAGTAGGAGAGAAGGAACAGTGATCAGTGAACAGATGGACTCAGCGCTGGTTCATTCTCTTACTAGTCGTGTAATACTCTTCTGGTATATTCAACCATTTACGTGGTCACAACAAAAAACGGAGAGCCGTGTTCCAATTCCAGTCTGGTTCGTTGTATTCACTTGTACGCAAGTGACCTTGAGAAAGTTATGAATCCATCTCTTCTCCTCCAGCTATGGGTTAATTAGTAGAACTTGTATCAGTAAAAAACATAATCTAAAAAAAATTCTTATAATCTAAATTATATTTTCTGCCTTTAAATAACACGCTTGATAAGCCGTAAAAGAACAAGCTCACACTGAGTCGACTCGTAATGATTCCTTTCATATTCCATTGGTAAAGATGAAGTTCCACTAAGATAGTTTCTTTCCAAGGCTCAACTCTTATCTATCCTACATATGAGAATAATATGAATCCTTACTATTACTTTGTGCTTCCTTCCAAGAACTCCATTTAATAAGCTTCTGAGTGGCTCATGGGCCTTGGATTGAGTGAACAATACTATATAAAAGAAGAAACCATCTAACAATGATGATACGGCGGCAGCGTCGAAATTCAAATGCGACAAGGCGCTGCATATTGGGCTTCTTCAGAGTACATATATCTGCTCTGCTCTCAGGCTTTCAGTCCTCGTAAGGACTCTGTTCTCCAGGCTTTCAGTCCTCGTGAGGACTCTGTTATCAGGCTTTCAGTCCTCATAATGACTCTTTTCTCAAGCTTTCAGTCCTCGTAAGGACTCTGTTCTCAGGCTTTCATTCCTCGTAAGGACTCTGTTCTCCAGGCTTTCAGTCCTCGTAAGGACTCTGTTCTCAAGCTTTCATTGCTCGTAGTAGATGAACAAAGTTTGTTAATTATTTTATGCATACTTTTAACTGAATTGGCTGTTCTCCAAATTTAAAATTGCCATTTTCGCGGTCATAGCTAGACAAGATATCTTGGTGTTTTGGACTGGCGTCTATTTGAAATAGAAGAAGCATTCCAAAAGTTTATCAATGTATTAAGAGACAGAAAAACTTGGTTAGAAACAAAGAAAAGACCACTAAACTGTTACGTGATATTAGTCCGCCTATATGGCAATGAATGCTGTATAATCTCCTGAAAGGGGAATAAGAGACTTAAACCAATAAGAATGTGTTGCTACAGAAGGATGCTGAGTATCCCAACGACGAAATTTTAGAGAAAATGGAAACAAAAAGGAATCTTATACTTAAAATCAAGAAGGAACAGTTGAAATTTCTAGGGCGCATAATGAGGAAAGAGGGCTTGGAAAAGCTGATACTCCCAGGACAGATTTATGACAAGATGGAGAGAGGAAAATGACGCGTAAAATAACGTAGTGCGCTTGATTAAATAGATGGCGGAACAAAGTTTAATAGAAATAACGAAAAGATAAAATTTATTAAGCGATACAAACGACCGGAAGTTGTGGAGAACCGTGATCGCCCACGTCCTGAGGGGACACGGCATATAAAGAAGAAGTAGCTGAACAAAAAAATATTCCAGTTACATTGTTATTTAGTATGAAGACAATAATAACCTCTTGATAAGCAGTTAACTCTGTAAGCAGGCCTTGGAATAAAACTTCGCTGTAAAGCCATCTTATTTTACGTGAAGCTAATATAAACATCACTTCGTGTTAAAGAAAAATGCAAATAACTTTTAAGGAGCCTAACACTTTCTGGAAGTTTATTGGCATCAGACTTTTTTCTTTAGTTGTCCGAAATGTATATACGTGCAATATGGTTGTAAAATGCTTCAGACACTCCCCACAAAGATCAAACAGAAAGTTACTGGGAGTGACTTTAAACGACTATGTCAATTTAAAGGAACGTCCATCCAGAACCGCCTAAACACACACAAAAAATCCGTTCAGCTGTAAACAGTCTTGAGACCAGACCTGTCAAAAGATGTTGTAGTTTCAGAATATAATATAAGCCTGAATTAAACAGTTACGCCCTCTGGTGGTCTTTCAGAACAAAAAAGTACGTCAAATCGCTATAATAGAACCAAGGTCTTATCATGTATAGTCCCAAAGGAGCAAGTTACAGAAAATTAGATGTTGTTGGTTTGGGGTAAGGTGTAAGTGTAACTTGTAGATACTATTGTTTGATTTTTAGATCCAATAACTGTATTTCTTTTGTAGCGTAGAATGACAATAAAAATTCCAGACGTCTTGAAATTGACCTAGATCATTTTATTATATCATTAATATACAACTAATAAGCTGACCTGCCAAATTTCGTAATTCCAGGAAACGTCTGTAGTAGCTCTTTGAATACACCCTACTAAACACTGTTAGTCACAACCAACTAGAAGAGTTTGAAGACAATTTGGAAGCTCGCTATCCAATAAAGATTATTGGCAGAAATAGGCATCAAAACACATTTTCATCCTGTTGCTTCAAGTCTCTTCATCTGCGAGGGGGTTGTCCGAGCATTCACTGCCATATACGAGGAGTACCGATATTACATATCAATTCAGTAATTTTTTCTTTGTTTCTAACCAAATTTTCCTGCTTATTAATACCTACAGGCGTGCCGTGGCTTCCCTCTGTCTTTTCTACAAGTATTTTCACAGTAACTGCCCCGACGAGCTACTTTCGCTGGTTCCCGGACTGAATGAATTTAAATGTACTACAAGGTTGGAATCTCGGTCCCACCCTTTCACTGTTAAAACGGTTAAATGTAACTGCCTCTTCTACTCCAACAGCTTCTTTCACACTTCCCGTCTTTGGAACTCCCTTCCTCTTACTTGCTTCCTTGATAACTATAATCTTCAAATCTAATGTCAATCAACATCTTCTAGTGCCTTGATCTTGTTTCGCGTCCTTCTCTTTAGGCTTTCTTCAAACACGCCTCTTTATTCTTGCTCTCAGTCCTCTGTAACCCCTTACGTGCTAGTGGCACCCCTGCCTTGCTTAGAGTGAAATGCTTTTAAAAAATACTTAGCTTATTTGAAGGCATCTTTCCCTATTTCAAATTTTATTATTTATAAAATATATTTAATATATTTGTTCGTAAACTAAATCGAATTTTATTTATGTGAGGTCGTTTGTTTTTTTAACGTCACGACTTCTACATCTTTTTATCCTCAAATTAGAAAACTTAAAATTAGAAAGCTCAACTTCAAATTAAAAACGCTGAATTTAAAATCGGAAAAAGTTGAAT